TCATACATATGATCTCGTTCTGTTTTTGCGATATCATATGGTAGTTATCTATTTCATCAGACCAATGGTCTTGTACGCTCTTCTAGGTACTATTTCATCATTCGTAGGATTTCAATCTCTTTCCATTACTGATCATACCCAAAATCAGGGTTTCCAGATAACCCTGATTTTGCGTGATTTAGAATTGCATCATTTTGTTCGTTTCAAATGTTTAATTTTTTTGCTATAAATAGCGATGTATTTTAGTAGGTTCGATAGGTTTTTGTTTAATACAAATAAAGTTTTATTTGCTTGATCAACTTAGACTTTTTAATCGATGAAAAGGATTTTCACCTGGTGACAGCGCCCGACCTTAACAAAAACCCACTCAGTTTCGCCTGCTGTAGAGTTTAGGACTGTAAGAATTATTTCTCATGCTGAAATTTCACTTGAAGATCTTCAGAGGAAACCTGTCGCAGATCCACTTTGTGTTTTGTAATTTTGGTCGTGAGATCGGATTGGACACCATCTTGTATGATTACTCTTCAACGTTCATGCAATTTGGTTGAGAAATGAAAGTGGTAGAAGGTTTTTATTTTGATACGATCACAGCGGGAAAATCGAATTTTCTGAAAAAAGTGTTTCTTAAGGTTTCTGTAATCTGGACAACAGAATAAACATTGGCACAAGATTCCCTGTGTCCAAAAACTGATATTTCATGTGTTTTTAGGATTTCCAGACTTCGGATTTAGCCAACCGGTAATTTCCCGGCGATTGTCTCTAGCCTCAGAACCACGGTAGATGGAGGTTTGACATTTGTGCCAGGTTGTAGAGTGACATATGTTCTATATCCACATGAATTTAGATCCGTATCTCACTATATAGTTTTTTGTAATGGCAAGCTTGAACGTTTCACCCAAAAGGAACACCATGGTAAACCTGATCAGAAAACCTAAGTCGTTCACAGATGATGTATCTCAATATCTAACATGAATTTTACATGATCAGTGCAAATCGACTTGGCGTTCACTTTTAATGTATCACTTACACAATTTCTTTTACAATGTATAGAACAAAATGTATTCCCACAGAACAGAAATTTCATAATGTATTATGTGAAAAAATTGTTCTTATCATTCTTAGTTTCATGTTGCCTGTAAGCTAGTCATTTTGTTTTCTTTCTGTCTTTCGTTTGTTCTTTCGTTTCTATTCTTGTTTTTTAATCAAATACATGAGTCAATGTTGTCTTGTTAACAGAGCTAATTGTTCAATGTCCGCTCAAGACAACTTTGATGAGATATTCTCAAGCTTACAGTTGTGTTTTTTGTATGGATTTTTTGGAAGAGATAAAATAACTTAACATAAACTTGAAAAAAATTTCAGATATATTGACAGAAAACTTACGATTTAAGACTGCCCGAGATAAAAATACGGTTTTATAAGTAACTTTGCATGACGAATTGAATGAGCTTGATAGAAAAAGAATAAAATTTTGGTCATGTTAAGCATTTGTTAACATATGTTCTATTTTCTCACTTTTCACAAACAAGATCAAGACAATAAAACTTCAGAAATACTGCATTAAGTGATTTATTGAGTTATGAGACAACGTCACTGAGTTCGAAAGCACCTGTGCTTTTTTATGCATACTCTTCTAAGTTAATAGCGTTAGAAGCTATTTGATTGTGTCCTTTAGCTTGTAATTGTATGTGTATGTTTTTATTCATTTGCTTTTTGATATAATTTTTGAAATCCATAATAAGCTTCTTCAAAATCAAATTTTCCATGTGAGTCCGTATAATAATCGTTAAGATATTTATCGCAAACTAAATCTTCATCTTTTGGACGAAGAAGTTTCATGCCAGGAATTAATTTATGTAGTATTTCATGTAATTCATGTTTTTCAATCATTCTTTTTTCATCATTTTTAGAAAATTCACTAAACATTTGAACAAATTGTTTTTCAATATCTAGACTATTTTGACCATTTAATATTTTAAACATTTGTTCATTAATCGAATCGCTGTTAATTAACTTATTATCAACAATGTTTGACATTTTTCTTTCACTCTTATAATACTATCACTGTGGTATTTTTTGTAGAAATAAAGCTTTATTCTATAATTTGTAAAGAACGTTATTGTGCAGCACTTAAATACGTTATCTATTGTTTGGTTTATTCAGGTAGCTGAGAAGGACAAGAAAAAATAAGTGGTTGTATATACATATCAAAATTTGACCGAATATTTCTAGAGAAGCAGGGCTCTAGATTTTACATATTCGGAATCAGCACGACAAGCTACATTGTACAGAGCAAGAATCTCATCTGCGTACCGACATTTTTTGAATCCAAATTCTCGATCGTGGATTTTCACGGTATCTGACACTATATCTAATTGTAGACATCAAACGTATTGCGACTATTTCTCTTTCCTACGATCTTATTTTCTTCTGTATAATATATTTTTCTCATGTGCTCGTATATAGGTGTACAGAAGGTTATTGTTTTTTCAAGCACAAAATAAGACAGGAAAACATTTTATACTTTTATTGAATTGTTCATTTATTCTATGTCCAAACGAAGCAGTCACTGTGAATTTACTATATATTCTGTCAACTTCGTGAATTAAAATTTAATCAATTAGAAGGGGCGTATTTCTAATTTTTATACTAATTTGAAGTACACGGTTGTACTATAAATTGATCTATGCTTCAGATGTAGGAATGTCAATTTCACAACTTAAAATCGGTAACATGCATGGTAGTAGTATTACTATCC